TACCTGCGCAAGCGCTTCGGCGGTCAACGCATCCGACTCTACTTGTCTGTGCTCTCGCTTTTTCTGTACATATTCACCAAGATCTCGGTGAGCATGCGCGGCTGGCGGGGCGAGGCCGAGGATGGGCGGGGTCACTGAAAAGCACCGGGCTGCTAACCTCAGCGTCAGCGGTTCGAAACTACCAGCTGTTCCGCGGGAGAAAGATGAGGATTTCTGCTCCCGTAAAGATTTACAGCCTTGGAAACCCTGTACAGGGTCGCTATAAGTCGGAACCGACTCCACAGCACATAAGTACCACCAGAGAGATCTGACAGCCCTGGTGGTGAAATGGTTAAGCGCTTGGCTGCTAGCGAATGGTTAATGGTTGGACCCACCAGCCGCTCAGAGGGCGCAATGAGCTGGCGATCTGCTCCGTTAAACAGCTTAGATTCGGAAACCCTACAGAGCAGTGCTCCTCTGTCCTACAATGTCTGTGAGTCGCTTCTACCAGAAAGCACACAATAGAGAGGCCTGGAGGAAACCCCAACAAAACCCACTGTCATCGAGTCGATTATGACCCAAAGGGGCCTTATGAAGGGTTTTTGAGACTATAAATCTTTACGGGAGAGCAGAAAGCCGCCTCTTTCTCCCGTGGAGCAGCTGGTGGATTCCAACTGCTGACCTTGCGGTTACCGACCCAACGCAAAACCCACAATAACAGTGATGAAGGTGGGACCTGTAAGGAAAGGATCTCTGGGCTGGGATTATGGGTTGGCGCCTAGGAAGACCAGGACGTCCTGAAATGAGGGAGCCTCCAGAGTGTGGTCAGTAGTGAGGTGGCCTGGACAGTAGGTGGACCTGGGCCCCTGCCCTGGGCTCTGGGTGCCTGACCTGTGCGCTGACTCCTTCCCTCAAGGTGGACATGTTCTCGGGAGCAGTGTTCATCCAACAAGCTCTGGGCTGGAATATCTACGCCTCAGTCATCGCGCTCTTGGGTATTACCATGATCTACACTGTGACAGGTGTCTGCGGAGGGGCCCAGGGAAGGGAAAGAGAGGGGAGATGTGCTAGGGGCTGTGGAGCTGTGGGCAGGTTTTAGGGCAGTCACCAGAGAAAAGCCGGGAGGAGAGGTTCTAAAGTCTAATGTGGTCCAGGTAGGAGGGGGACCGAAACTTCTAGAAGGCAAACTTTCCTTTCCCTACTTGGATTCGGATTGGAAGTTTAGAGCAACAAGCTCGTGCTGAATCTCGGAGTGGGCACCGAGGAAAAAGAAAGGTTTAGCAGCTTTTGAACACCTGGATGCAGAGCGAATTTCTTGTCAAACCCAGGGGTTCCAAGATGAACTCCAGCCAGATGTTGGACAGGAGTGGGCGTGGCCTGGTGCAGGTGGCGGGTTTGAGCGGTTACCTCAGAGCGTCATTCCCTCCTAGTACATATACCAGAAAACTGGGACAGAGAGAGGACTCCTGCACATAGGTGCCTGGCCAAGCAAGGAACATTCATTGGAACCTAAACCTCAACACACAACTCAACGGGTGACTTCTTGTTGGGCCCATTAGCTCAGAGAATGGACCACTGTTAAGATATTTGTTCTCTAGGAAGGGGCACCTTTTTCAAATTCGCACAGAGACACTTGTGTGTTAGGGACAGTCTGTGAACTCCGAGCTGGGCTCTCCCCACTGACCCAGGCCCGTTGCAGGAGGGCTGGCAGCGCTGATGTACACAGACACCGTGCAGACCTTCGTCATTCTTGGGGGAGCCTTGATCCTCATGGGCTACGGTATAGTACTCAGCCGTTCGGCGGCAGGGGGCGGGAGAGGAGAGATGGAGTTTGAGGGTTGCAGATACCCAGTAGCTGGAACGTCACTTGTCTCTGGCACAGGAGTCCCAGGGAGGGCCTTGGCGTGGGCATTGGGTCCCCTGACGGCCTTGCTCACACAGCTTTCCACGAAGTGGGCGGGTACTCGGGGCTCTTCGACAAATACTTGGGGGCAGTGACATCGCTGACAGTATCGGAGGACCCTGCCTTGGGCAACATCTCCAGCTCCTGCTATCGGCCCCGGCCCGACTCCTATCACTTACTTCGGGACCCTGTGACGGGAGACCTGCCTTGGCCTGCGCTGCTCCTGGGGCTCACCATCGTCTCAGGCTGGTACTGGTGCAGTGACCAGGTGCGGGGTCGGAGCTTGGGCCCCTGGCAACACACGCTCACAGCCGGAACTGCTGGGTGGAGCCTGCGCGTTTTCCAGTCTGGCTAGTTCAATTGGGTGGTCTGAGCCGGATGGCCCCAGATCCAGGGAAACACCTTAAGGTGGAGCTAAACCAGATGAAGCAGGGATCCAAGGGTCAGGGTCTAAACTGGGGGCCCAGCTGGGCCAGAGACGCAGCCGGAATTGGTTGGGCGAGTTGAGGCCAAGCTTGAGGTGGGGCGTCTCTGGGACAGGACACAGGTGCTGAATGCCCCTCCTCGTAGGTCATAGTGCAGCGCTGTCTGGCTGGGAAGAACCTGACTCACATCAAGGCGGGTTGTATCCTGTGCGGCTACCTGAAGCTGATGCCCATGTTCCTCATGGTCATGCCAGGCATGATCAGTCGCATTCTTTACCCGGGTAATGACCTGGCGCCTAGCCCCGCCTTCCACCAAGGGTCCCATCTCTCCTCTCATAGGCTTCCCAGTCCCCACCTCAGGGAACCTAGTAACCGACCTGGTCCCACTCTAGCTGCACCGTGGTCTCTTTCCCGCAGACGAAGTCGCCTGCGTGGTGCCCGAGGTGTGTAAGCGCGTGTGTGGCACCGAGGTGGGCTGCTCCAACATCGCCTATCCGCGGCTGGTCGTGAAGCTCATGCCCAATGGTGAGGAAGGGCCCCCACAAGTTTGGGTAGGTTGCGTAGATCCCTCGTGGAGTCCGTACAACCAGGGTGTCCCAGGCCTCAGGATTCCCATCCGCCCGCAGGCCTGCGCGGACTCATGCTGGCGGTCATGCTGGCGGCGCTCATGTCCTCGCTGGCCTCCATCTTCAACAGCAGCAGCACGCTTTTCACCATGGACATCTACACGCGCCTGCGGCCTGGCGCCAGCGACCGCGAGCTGCTGCTAATAGGGCGGTGCGGCCTGGGTTCCCCTCTCCTGCCCCAGGAATCGTCCTAGGATCGGATGGGGCCAGGGAGCACCTGCAGGGTTGTGGGAAGGTAGGAGTCAGGGCTGAGTTCTGACGGCCGCTCCACCACAGGCTCTGGGTGGTGTTCATCGTGGCCGTTTCGGTAGCCTGGCTACCTGTGGTGCAGGCGGCGCAGGGTGGACAGCTCTTCGATTACATCCAGGCGGTCTCCAGCTACCTGGCGCCGCCAGTATCCGCTGTCTTCGTACTGGCGCTCTTTGTGCCCCGCGTCAATGAAAAGGTAAGCGTGTGTACTTGGAGGGCAGGGCTTGAGCATCTGAAGAGACTGACTCTTTCTCCCCTCAGGGCGCCTTCTGGGGACTGATCGGGGGCCTGCTGATGGGCCTGGCACGGCTTATTCCTGAGTTTTCCTTTGGCTCGGGCAGCTGCGTGAGACCCTCGATGTGCCCAGCACTGATCTGCGGTGTGCACTACCTCTATTTTGCTATGGTGCTCTTCTTCTGCTCAGGCCTCCTCACCCTTGTCGTCTCTCTGTGCACTGCACCCATCCCACGCAAACACGTAAGCAACTGGCCTCTGCACCTGGTCAGTGTCATGCCCTCCAGACCTGGAGAATTTCCATAATGAAGGTTGGCTGGTAGTCGTGTGATGTTTTATTTTCAGGGCCAGTACAACGTTTACTTTAAATGCCATTTATTTAGAGTGATTTTGGGAGAGGTGGGCTGAAGAAGACTGGGGGGCAGTCACAATCTTCCTTAGGGATTCAAGTCAATTCTTGGCATAGTCTTTGGGACTCAAAACACAGGATCAGATTGTTGGGATGAGAGCGGTAAATTGCCATCTTGAAAGCCCACAAGTGGGTTTGGTCTTATGTTGCTACTGGGCAGGTACCCCAGGGAAGAGCTGACTGGGGAGCTGGACCAAAGAGCTGGGCTTGGGATGGACAGGATTCCACAGGGGGAGGGAGCAAGGAACACTGTTAGTAAGACTGCACCCCCAAGGCTGGAATGCTACAATTCTGGATGTAGTGATGAGAGGGGAGAAAAGGGCAAGCATTCTTATATAGGGTGGTGGTGAGGAGCCTGGGGTTAGCCTGAGGACAAAGGGAAGCCCTGGAAAGTGAAGCTTCAGGAACTGTGCAAGCCGCACAGAGGAAGGTTAGGGCAGGCAGGGAGGGCCAGTGAGGATGCTGTTTTGCCACCCCTCCCCAGCTTCACCGACTGGTCTTCAGTCTCCGGCACAGCAAGGAGGAGCGGGAGGACCTTGATGTGGCCGAGGAGCTGGAAGGCCCAAGCTTACCGCCTATACAGAATGGGTGTCCAGAGCATGCAGTGGACATGGAAGGTGAGGCACTGTCCAGGGTGGAGGGCTGGAGAGGATGCACTCTTCATGCTAACTGCACCATCTCAACTTCTCTCAGAGCCCCAGCCCCCAGCACCGGGCCTCTTCCGCCAGTGTCTGTTTTGGTTCTGCGGCATGAGCAGGAGTGGGGCAGGTAGCCCCCCACCCCCTACCCAGGAGGAGGCAGCTGAAGCAGCCAGGCAACTGGAGGACATCAGTGAGGATCCACGCTGGGCCCGTGTGGTCAACCTCAATGCCCTGCTCATGATGGCTGTGGCTACGTTCCTCTGGGGCTTTTACGCCTGAGGCAACTATGTTGGACACTATGAGCCACAACCAGGTCAGGGCTCAGCTTCACAAGGAGTGGGAGGGGGGCCATGAGAAGAGGGGGGGGCAAGAGTGGGGAAAGGCCGTTTTCTTGTCTCCACCTGACTGGCAGTCACTTTCCCAGGGGGCGTTGGCCAACCTGATCCAGCAGTTCCCTCAACAAAAATAAAGCTGCCTTTCACACATCCTGTTGTGGCCACAGTGTCCTTGTCCCTGGCTCTGGTCCTGGGCGGCTCACAACACCTTCTTTTCTGGAGTCAGCAGCCACGTGGCTCTCCACTCATCCACCTCCAGCTGGTGCTTCTCAGTCTTCCAACCAGCTTCCTGCAGGCCTGGGGGGAGAACACGGGGGCTGCTGGAAGGCTATGGGACAGACTCTGGGGAGGGGGTAGAGAGGCGCAGGCCGGGCACAGGGTGTGTGTTCTACTTGGGCTCCTCTTGCCTCTGCAAGTTCTGTACCTTCTCTGAGCTCATGAAATGAAATTCAAACCCCATCTGCTTGCAGGACGGATTCAAAGAGACACCACAGAGACACGAGCTGGCAGGGAGTGCACACTAAACACTGTCCTCTCCCACCCCCACTTTCCTCAGTGCTGACCAGCATTACAGACTGTCAACACTGATACAGTCTGAGTGACCACCCTAAACTTCCCACCCCACAGACAGCTAAGGCCTAAGGAGCCAGACTTATCTCCCAGGTGGTAGGTGGGGGTAACTAGGGATCTGGGGAGAAAGCTGAGGGATGTTACCTTTCAAGAACTTTGGAAATAGCTTGTTCAACACTTGGTGTGTTTCCTTGACAATGGCCCAGCTATGGTTTTCAGGACCTGGCAGGTGGGTGGTAGCAAGAATAGAAGCTATCTGATCCCAAAATAGGAGAGAAGGCTTCCCCCTCACCCCAACCTCTGCCCACCCAGTCATCAACAGCTCCTATGGTATGGTAAAGCTCCTACCTGCCCACACCTGGTTCCTCAGCTCCTCCAGCTCTCCTGGAAGAGGCCCAGCTCCCTTCAGGGCTCCAAGCACCAGTCCGTGTGTGGCGGCTCTGAGGACAGTCTCAGGCCCTGCTGTAGGGCTCAGAACTACCTGTACCTGGTCTGGAGAGATCCAGGGAGAGACTGATGGCAAGCAAGGGCCATTTCCCCACACCCCCTTCAGCCTGTCCTTACGCATCACCTCTCTGGCCCTAGAGATAGATCTTCACCTGGCGTGGAACGTCATTTCCTCATTCTTCCCTTTCCAGCTTCATCATCTGCTGGTTCCCAATGCTCTGGGCAACTGAAATGCTCCATTTCCCACCATAACTTGACACTTGCACCCTGAGGTGGGTTTATTTTACATTTCTTTCATGAGAACAAGCACCTTTAAATACATGACCATTTCCAGAGTGTCCTTTTAATGTTGTTAATTGCTAACAGTCAGTTCTGACTCATCCAAGATGAGATAGGAAAGCGATTACCCAGAGACAGCCATATACTTACTGGAGTCAGCCTACTACAATATACAAAGTACTTCGACATCAACACCTTATCTGAGCCTCATAAAAACCCTATAAGCCAATACAGCAGGTGTTATCACCAGCTTCATTTTACAGAGGGGTAAAGTGAATTTCACTGGGCATGCAGCTTAGTAAAGAAACCTTAACATGAATGTATCAAAGCATTAGTCTAGAGCTCCCCCCCAGACACCAGGCAGCCTCTAAGCTGGGGTGTTATCCCAGACCTTGGAGCTGGAGCGACAATTAGGAGCTAACCCCAGGAGGGTGGGTCTAAGGCTGGTAGAACATCACACACTCACTTTGTGATTGGTTCCAGTGAAGGAGGTAGGGCTCTTGGTGCTCCCCAATCAGCTGCTGTAGTTCAGAGACTCTGGAGAGAGAATGGAATGCAGTGGGAGCGAGGGGGCGCAAAGGCAGGAGTGACCACCTACCTACCTACAACTGTCCACTCTTCACCCTTCCTGCACCCATTGCCAACGTACCCCTACATCCATCCCGCCTTCCTGTACCTTCCAGCCAGTCATCCACCTACCTACCCTTCTTTCAGCTAACACACGATCACTGTGTTACTCCTCGGTCACACTCCCCTTTACCCTCAAACAGCCCTGTTGCTCCCCAAGTCTGTTTGGTGGAAATAAAGACCTTAGAACAGAAGTGGGCCTGAGGAGGCGAGGCCAGTGTGTAAGTGGAGTAAGGTACATGTGTGAAGAACAGGGTGACCGAAGTGATGAGAGTGCAGGTGAGGGACACTGGATCACTCACCTGGAAACCAAGCGATGCAGGGGGACCCCAAGGGACAGAGACAGAGATGGCCAGAAACCTGTAGGAAGCTGGAGTCAGGATGCCCAGGCAGGGGAAGAGGCAGGGAAACATAGACTCCAGACCATAGGGTTGGGTCACCTGTCCACAGTGGCTCCATCTGATTGGCTGATGTGGGGCTGAGCACCTCTCCCCTCTGAAGAAAGTGCCTGAGGACCAGCCAGAGGCGGCCTTCGTTCAAGGTGTCCATGACCAGGGCTCGGACTGCCCGGTAGTTGGCGTAGATGTGGAGGGCAGTGAAGAGGAGGAAACACCCGAAGCTGAAGCTGGGGTAAGAGAGTGAAGGGTCACCACGGCCAGAGGCCCAGCTGGGCATCTCCTTCCCATCCTCAATCTCACCTCACCTAGGCCAGTCTGACACCAGGGGGAGCAGCAGAAGGCTCACCAGGAGCCCCGCCAGATTCACCAGAGTCTCCTGAAAAATGGCAGAGGGATCAGCAGTGGAGGCATGCCTTCCAGATCAGACAAAGTGTCCTTGAGGGTTTTTCACCAGTCTTCCCTGCTCCAAAACCTCCCAGGGCACCCAACTCTGATGAGTACCTAGTCAAGTTTTAACATTTCTGATGAGTAAACGGTCATTTCAGAGACACCAGCTGTTTTTCTGCTCAGGTAGATGCAATATCCTTGGGAAATAGCGCTTTGGGTTGTAGTTATCACGAGAGAGAGTAACCCCACACCCAGGCAAATAAATGTCCAGAGTGGGGGCCTTTTTTTATGTGGTGGTTGTTTTTAAACAGGCCAATAGCCCCCTAAGTCCCGCTCGCTGCATGCAACAGGTGGGTAAGAGGCAAACTAATCTGCAAAAGGGCTGAGGAAAAAAGAACAAGACGCAAAACTTGGTTCTCGAGACTCAATAGTATTAGTACCAATCTGATGGCCTGAGCTGGCCTAGCCGAGGCCCCTTGTGGGGAAAGACCCAGGGCCACCTGCTCATCAGGGAGGAGGCATCTCGATTGTTGGCCCTGACTTCTGGCACAGAGAGGACTTGAGGCCTGAGAGCTTTTCTGACGCAGCCCCCCTGGCAAGGAGGTGAGTTGTGACACCTGGCGCCTTGGGAGCTCAGGAGCAAAGGGACCTTCTCCCCTCTAGGAGGGAACAGCCATTTCCAGCAGCCACACGAAGTGGCAACAAGAGCAACATCAGCAGAAAGTAAATGCCTGGGACTAAGAAAGCTTGTGTCCCAGGCTGCCCCGCTGCTTCTGTGGACAGAAGAGCCCTCGGGGCTGTGGAAGACACAGCTGGGCAGAGGCGCCGGGGAGGGAGAGAACAGGTGGGAGAGGGCAGGAGTGGAGCTGGGAAATCCTGAAGAGCAGGGCCTGGATTGCACACATGGATTTCGAGTTGGAAGAGGCAGCAAGGAAGAACTCATCCATCCAGGTCCAGAAAGAAGGGAACTGTCCAGCTTCACCTAGAGACACCGGACCTCTCTGTCTTGTTTAGAAGCCTTGGTATTACAGTGGTTAAATGTAGTACTCAGTGGCTAATCAGTAGGTTGGCGGTTTGAACCCACCAGCTGCTCTTTGGGAGAAAGCTGTGGCAGTCTTGGGAACCTTAGGGGGCAGTGCTACTCTCTCCTCGAGGTTGGCTACGAGTCGGCATGGACTCCATGACAGTGGGCTTGGGCTGATGCCTTGTTTCCTCATCTGTAACCACAGTGACAATGAGGACTGACTGCACAAGACCATGTCCACAATGGAATCAATTCCTCTGAAGGAAATGCTTGGTCCACAGTTAACGTTGACTGAGTATTGCTGGTAGCTCCTGGCCAGGCTGCACTCTACTCAGGCTACTCCACTCTGCTCAGGCTACTCCACTCTGCTCAGGCTACTCCACTCTACTCAGGCTACTCCACACACAGCAGAAGGACAGGCTGCCTGGTCCTGAGACATCCCCACACTCTAGTGCAGAGCAGACCACTGCGATCCACAGCGTCTTCACTGGCTGAGTCTCAGAAGTAGATCACCAGGCCTTTCTTCCGAGTCTATCTTAATTTCCAAGCGCTATTTGACACCTGTTCAGCATCAGAGCAACATTCAAGCTTCCACTAACAGATGCGGGCTGTATATGTGGTGCATTGGCTGGGAATGAAGCCCACGTGTGCTGCATGGAAGGTGAATAAAATTACCCATGTTCCCATTAATAAAGATGAGCTTGTGCTAGGGTTGTTAATGGGAGCCCTGGTGACCTGGTGAGTACCAAGCTGGGCGGCTCACAGAGCTGGTGGTTCTAGATGAGGATGTGTGCTCCCGTCAAGATTTACAGCCAGGGAACACTTCTATTCTGACCTACAGGGGCTCTATGAGACAGCAGTAACTCAGTGGCAGTGGGTGCAAGACATGAATGGCTATTAGTTTATTATTTTATAACAAATGTTTTTAAATGAAATTCGACTTATAAACTGAAAAAAAAAAAAAGTAAGGCAAGGCCAGAAATTAGGACTAGGCAGGCAGTGGTTCCTAAATTGCTTCATGTCAAGGAAAACCGGCACACTTCTGGTATCTACCTCATGGCGTCAGTGTGAGAGCTGAAGGATAGAAGGTACACAGGCACCCAGAGATTTGAGGGGGATCTAATGCATGTAGGATTCAGTCTTAGGAGTGTCCCCATCCTTACTTCAAACTCCCTAGTTCAGGTGGCAGCTAGAGGGTCTGTTAAACGGCTGAGTAGAGACTCAGCCCACGGCCCTGGTCAGCCCACAATCCAAGCACTTTCATTTTTGACCATTTTCATGTGTGGCTCCTCAAACGTTCACTTTCCAGAACATTCACCCTAAGTGGGGCTCAGAGGCTGTAACGGGCTTGTTGCCACCAGAGCCTGTGGTCTCACACCTGGCCATGTGTCTGCAAGTTAGAGCAGGGAGCACCTATATCCTCCATGCATGCCCCCATCCCCATGCCCAGGGTCCTCAGGAGCTTCCCCCCATACTTCCTAGACCCTCCCACCTCTGCCACGGGTAGCCCCTCAGTCTCTGTTGCTCACCTGGCTGCCATCCTTGGCTGACACATCTGCCATGTTGTTTCTCCGGGCCTGGTGCACAGTCAGAGCAGCCCTAGTCGCCCCGCCAGCCACGCCCACAATGCACTGGGTGAGGAAAGAGAATAGGTCAGAGAGACTGACTGATGGGCAAACAGAGGCGCTTCTGGGGGAAGCCAAGCAAGCGACATGGACCAACCTCTGAGGAAACCAGGTCTCAAGCTACCCCACAACAAAAGCCTGAACACCTTCCTCACTATCTAGTTCTCATCCCGAAATGCCTCCCCAGTCTTGCCCTGCTTTCCACCACTATCCTGTGGAGTAGGCTCCCAGGGACACACAATTTCCTTTCTCAAGGTGGAGGCGCAAAGACCGTTATTGGCCCAGAACTTCCCCATCCTCCAACTCCTACTTTGTTCTCTCCCTCAGCTGTTACCAGGCCCAAAGGTTTCTAATTTCATGCTTTTATTCACAACATTCTGTCTGCCTGATCATTCTTCTGCTCTCTTCCTGTCCCCTTCCAGGCCAGCTTACAACCCCATCAGTGGCCCTTACCTTCAGGGACACCAGGCTCTTGCCCCGAGAGCTCAGGATTAGAGCTCAATGATGAAGGTCACTGGTCACCCTACTTTACGGTCTTTACCAAGCCTCTTTCAGACCAGACAAGATCTAGGGGCCCCTACCTTCCTGCAGCTTATAGATCAATAATGATAAATAAATTATTTTGTCCAAAGGCAAGAGGAATGCGGTACAAAACGCAGATGAAGTGACTGGCAGGGTCGGAAGCTTGTGAGTCTTGTTAAGACCTTTGTTCTAAGTCAGACTCACGGTGGGTTCCGGCCAGGGATGTGACCTGATTTGTCTTCCATTTGTAAAGGATTATCTGGTGTTCTGAGGATTGAAGAGGGGTGAGAATGGAAGGAGGGAGATTCGCTATGAAGCAAACTGATTTTCCAACCAGATAGTAGTGATTGGGAAATGGAGAAGTAAATGGATTGCAGAGATTTAGGGGGGTGGTGATCATACAACTGAAGGAAGTGTTGTTGTTGTTAAGTGCCTTCAAATTGCTCTGACTTATAGCGACCCTGTATAGGCTTTCTGAAGAGCAGCTGGTGGGTTTGAACTGCAGACTTTGTGGTTCACAGTCTATATATATAAGTATAGAGTCTATATATATACATATAAGGAGCTCTGGTAGCATTGTTATTATGAATCGGGCTGCTAACCTCAAGGTCAGCAGTTCAAAACTACCAGCCATTCTGCAGGAGAAAGATGAGGCTTTTTGTTCCCATAAGATATATGTGTGTGTGTGTATCAGCACTACACATACACACATCAGCACAATAACAACCAGACTTCAGGGTGGTACATCAGGGGGAGGGAGGTGCTGGCCAGAGATGTTCTTGTTAAGTGCCATCAAATCGGTTCCGACTCGGAGTGACCCTGCATAGGGTTTCCGAGGCGCGGCTGGTGGGTCTGAACTGCTGACTATGGTTAACAGCCCGCCCAGTGCTTATCCTACAGTGCTACACCAGGACTTAGTCACTGAGACAGAGAACCTTAGAAGAAGGGTCTAGAGAGAAGCTCATGGCCTTTATCACGTAGACACTGAGGCCTCCAGGGTGAAGGGTGGTAGCAGAATGAGCAATAATGGCAGCAGTCAGCAGCGGTTCTCTCTGGGGCACTCCTGTCCTTGGGAGATGTGTGTGCTCACGGCACTTAGCGCCTGGTCCAGGGAGACGAAACATTCTTCACCACAAAGAATGGTTGCAACCAAACAGCAGTTCCCCGTGGAGTAATGCTGTTTTAAAGTGATTTTAAACAAACAGATATATCTTCCGTGTTTGCTTAGGAGTCTTGACTCTGTGGCCGGCACCACACCCTGTGGTGGATGGGTGAGCTCTTTAAGTGGACTTCAATGGGCCTCTGTTTTCTTACGTAGATGGAGCCAATCTGAAAGAGCTGCTGTGCTGGTGAGCAGCCCGCCAGAGGGAACGCAAAGGCTGACACTCACCTTGCTTGTCACTCCAGCTTCTAGACAGTGAACCACATGGTTCTGGATGCCCAGAACACCTTCGCTGCACCTTGAACTCGCTCTTCAGGACCCAGGTGAAATATTACCATCCCGGGGGAGGTCTTCCTGCACCCACTGACCAAGTTGGATACCCCACCAAATTGTCTCTTGGGTCTCTGCACTTCTCATTTGACACATCTGTGGTTATACTTACTTAAATATGTATCTAACAATGTATGGCTTCCTTTCAAAGACAGGATGGCTCATGTACTGTGCCAAACATGCATTATTGTTGTGAAGTGCCGTCGAATCAATTCCAACCCATAGCGACCTTGTATAGGGTTTCCAAGGAACAGCTGGTGAGCTTGAACCACCGACCTTACAGTTCAAACAACTTTGCAGTCTGACGCATTAGCCCACACCACCACTCTAGGACTCCAAACATGCATTAGACCCTCAATATATATTTTAGTGAAAGGATGGAGGGTTCTTGTCAAGATGCTGACATGGGGCCACTCTGGTCTTTCGATTTGGGAGTTCCCCCACTAGTCCTGTACCTCCTCACTCCTTCTTCTGATGGCCTGACTAAAGTGTTACAGACTGCCTGGCTGGAGGAGGACCCGAAAACACAGTTGATGTTGGGTCCAACTGCAAACATCTAAATGCTCTCACCCTTCTAGAAGCTCGTTGAGAGGAAGGCTCAGGCCAGACTCACCCAGGGCCCACAGTAAGCCCCCACAAAGGCAGGTACCTTGGCCAGGTTGCTGATGCAGACAGTCATGGTGAAGTAAGCTGGGGCCAAGGGAGCCATTATCTCCAGGAACATGGCGCCATCGTTAAGGACGTCAGCAAAAAGCCTGGAGGAGGATCAGAGATCAGAGGTCAGAGCCCTTACTGGAAGACATGGTTCCTGTGGGCCCCAGCCCCTCCTTACCTCCACTGCTTGGCATTACAGTCCAGTTTGCTCCTGTTGGGGAGAAAAGGATGTTACCACTCTGATTTAAGGAAGAAACCATCTGGGCAGGAGGGGGAGTAAAGAAGTCTGAGAGGCTCTGGATACCCCATACCTCCCGCCTGCTATCTGACAAGCTTCTTAGGCAGAGGACATTCAGAGCCTTTGGCTTTCTGCGTTGTCCACGATGGGCAGCAAAGCAGCACATTAGTGGTTTTGAGGCGAGGTCTGAGCACAGCCACAGATCTGGAGATCAGCTGCTATTAGGCAACCCTGGGTAAGCCCCCCAGACTGGGCACTCACTAAAGAGTCCGAGACTCTGAGGATGCTCCAACACTGGGAGACTGCTATCAGAGAGGGGAAGCTGAATACACAAAGAGGCTGCAAAAGTTCATGGAAAACTGAAATGAAAAGAGAATGGAGTTTCCCCAGACACTTTTTAAAGCCCGCTTGGGTGGCCAGGAAGTGTATAATGCAAGAGAAATACAGTTAGGATGCCGACATGCAACACCATATGTCTCTTATGAAGCCCTGGTGGAGGTGGTGGTGGTGTGCCGTGGAGTCGGTTCCGACCCATAGGAACCCTGCCTAGGGTTTCCGAGGCTGTAAATCTTTACTGGAGCAGAGAGCCTCATCTTTCTCCCATGGAGCAGCTGGTAGTTTCAAACTGCTGACCTTGAAATTAGCAGCCCGATTCATAACCACTACGTTACCAGAGCTCCTTCATGAAGCCCTAGACCCACCAAAATGAAGCCATATTTATCACTTAGCTTATATAAGGGGGCTTCAAAAAGTTCAGGGAAAAATGAAGTGAAGAGATATTGGAAATTTCCCATGAACCTTTTAAAGGCCCTAGTGAATATCTACGTGACCAAACTATTTTAAAAAACAGAAATGACCCCAGTCTAGGGGGAGCAGCCAGAAGGCTGGTCACTGGGAAGACAAACTCACCCCTTCCACCAGGCAAAGACAATGCGGCCCAGCATGCCAGTTGAGTCTGGGGAAAAGAAGAAGGCATTGGTAAGGAACAAGGACGAGCCCGGAGGATGCTGGGGGCTGGCAGACCCTGCGATGGAATCTCCTGATTCACACTGGCTCACTGATGGTGGGAGCTGAGTCTGGTTTGCAAAGTTGTGGACAGACACAGCTAGGCTCCAGGTCTGAAGAGTCCACACCCAGCAAGTGCTTGGTATACATCCAAGAAATATATGTCCCATGCACACTGAGAGTCATAAACAAGAGTGTTCTTTGCAGTATGACTCTTAACAGCCCAAAAACAAAACAACAACAACAAAAAAACGGAAATAATGCAAATGCCCATCAATGGGAAAATGCATAAATAAATTCTGGTATATTCACTGGATGGCATATTAGAACAATGAGAATGCAGTCAACTAAAACTACCTACATTACCATATAGCCTCGCTCACTCACCACCATCGAGTCGCTTCCGGCTCAGAGCTACCCTGTATAGGGTTTCCAAGGCTGTAAATCTTTACAGGAGCAGAAAGCCTCAACTTTCTCCGATGGAGCTGCTGGAGGGTTTGAACTGATAACCTCATGATTAATAGTACAGTGCTTATCCTACAGCACCATCAGGGCTCCTTGCATAAATCCGAGTATCATAAAAATATCTTGCATAAAACAGTCATGAAGACTACACATATCATGGTTAGAACCATATCCACCGCCTCAGCCCCAATATGTGTCAACTTGGCTGACCCATGATTCTCAGGTTTGGAAGTTATGTAAGGATACCCCATGATGTGATGTACCAAGAAGAGGTTCAAGAGCGGGATGTAATACCTTTTATATTACAAGAGACAGAAGGACAGAGAGGCTAGCTGAGAATGGTGGGACCTACTCCCATGGAGAAAGAAGAGCCAGGAGCGGAGTGTGTCCTTTGATCGGGGTCCCTACACTGTGAAGCTCTTAGATCCTTCTATAGCTGTCTTGCAATGGGAACTGTGAGAAAATGTATTTCTTAAAGCTATCCACCTGTGATCTTTCTGTTCTAGACCCATTAGACACCTAAGACAACATATATCATGATCAACTTTTCGTAAAGTTCAAAAGCAACTAAAATTAAACAATATAGTGTTTGGGTATTAAAACCATTAAAAAAAAAACAAAACAAAAAAAACAGCAAGGACTCCTAAGTGCAAAGTTTAGAGGTGACTGCTGATATCTAGCTCTTAGGTTGGGCAGTGGGTTTACTTGTGGTCATTACGATTATAAACACATTTAAACTCCAGGTTGATGACAGAGAGCTGGTGGGGTAAAGGCCAGAGAGGATGTCTCAGGCTGGAGGTCACAGAAGTCTCTGGAATCTGCTGGATCCTCATTTGCACACAAATGCTAGCTGGTTGTTGACTTTAAGGCAGGTGCCTGAGGCAGGGGCATGCTGAAGTGAGCCTAAGTCATGGTCCCTGCCTCCAAGTCTAGTGCAAGAGCAGAATGCAGTTAGTCTGAACTATGCTGCTTTTGATCAGGAGGGGGTAATAGATGCTCTGTGGGTCTCCACTCCCGATATTTGTTTAAGTTGTATTGGAACCACAGCCATGTCCGGCTGTTTTTGTGGCACAACAGAACTGAGTTGCTGAGAAAGAGACCATATGGCCTACAATGTTAACCATCTGGCTCTTTACAGAAAAACTTTACCAACCCCTGATTTAGACTATCCTTTATGCCAGTTCAAACCCACCAGCCGCTCCTTGAGAGAAAGATGAGGTTTTCTGCTCCCATAAAGATTTACAGCCTCAGGAACCCTAGACAGCATTGTGAGGAGTTGAAATGGGTTTGGTTTGGACTTTGGTTATTTCAGGAGTAGCACCCACTGAGTCTAGCAGGTGGAACACAAAGGGATGCTTAAGAACCAGACAACTGGGAGGGACTCACTCACATAGTGGGCAGAGGGCTTCAAATAGTCTGAGCTTGAGGTCTGGACCCTTCACTGGTGGATGCCAAGAAGGAGAGAGACTAGGCTGTGGGCAGGAGGGTCAGGGACCTCCCACAATATGTAAAGATGGTATCCTGCCCATTTTCCCCTGGACAAAGATGCATGGACTCCTTGTCACTGCTTCTGATCTTGGCCATTGAGGTCTTCTAACTAGATCATCTGGTTAGACATGCTTACCCTACCCTGGACTTGAGGAAGATGATCAAGCACTGTGGTGGACACCTTTCATTCTTTCCAATAATCCTCTGAGCTTGGGAGGGGCCATTTATTCACAGACAAGCAAGTAAACCTCAGAGAAGACGGCATTCCTCACTCTTATGTCCAGCAACATAGGGTGGCCAAGGAGCCCAAGGCTGGAGGCAAAAATGAGGTGAGGGATAGCAGCTGAAGCATGGAAGTCTAAGTTCTTACTGCTCTTCTTGGTGTATGCTTTTTTAGAAGACAATTTGGATTTCTAGCTTCTCTGAAAGCACCGGAGACAGGACAACACTGCGACCAGCTTTTCTCACCACCGTTGGATAGGGCTGAGTAGCAGTGCCTTCACTCAGAAGAGGCAGGGGCACAACACAGTTCCCGCCCCACTTGCTCTACCCTCCCATTCCTGTCTCCTGCCAGGCTTTACCTAGATCACTGCCCCCTTCAAGTTTAATTCCATAGGATTTTTCCATTGTTCTACTCAATAGTCTTAAATTAGATCAGCTAATAATAACTCTGAATATGGCAAGACTACTTTAACTAATTGACTGGGCCTCCACTGGGCCAGACTCAATTTTTTTACCCTTTGTACCAGAGTCCTGGAGGAGCACTGGGCTAAGCACTGGGAGAAACCACCCACTGCTCCATGCAAGAAAGATGAGACACTGGGCTTGTTTCAAGGTACAACCTTGGGCATCCTATAAAACAGCTCTGCTCTGTGCAGTAGGGTCATTATCACTCAGAATCAACCTGGCAGCAGGGGATTTTGATTGCACACTCACATTTAATCAAGTGTATGTTCTGGTGTGACTGTAAAGTCAGTTTGAACAACAAGGTCGGTGGTTCAAGCTCACCAGCTGCTCCTTGGAAACACTATGTAGTGTTATGATGAGTCGGAATCAACTAGAAGGCACTTAACAACAACAAACGTTCTTCATATGGGTCACTTGACAGGGGTCCTACCATACTTTCTATGCCAGAGGTAGCATGTAGCACCCTTGTTGGAATCTGATCCTTGGCACTAAGCTTCATTAGTGGCATATCCCTGACCTATTATCTCAAAGCCAATATTGTCCAGGATAGGAAATTTACATTCTGCCAGCCCTTCTTTGCCTCATTTATAACTAGCAGAGTTGTAGAATCTATAAACTTCTGAGGCTAGTATGGGATCAGCCATCCACAAATTATACTTGGCTCCACTCTAAAATCCTAACTGGCCAAGAATGTTAAGAGTGGGACATAGGAGTCAGTTTGCCTACACCTAATTCCAGGTCCCATGTGACCCCCAGCCAGTGGGTTAATGGCAACGTCTGGAGGCTATAGAGATTATCAGCAGGCTGGAGGAAAGGCCTGGGGACCTGCTTCCACAACGATTACAGCCACGAAAATCCGAGAGAGCAGCTTTACTCTGCAACACTCAGGGACACTGTGAGCTGAAATTGACTTGATGGCATGGGGTGTTTTTTGTAATTGTTATGAGAGTTAACAACATGCTCCATTAAGAGACCAGTAATTGAAAATGACACTTGAATCTATATACAAATAGGGCTTCTTTTAATAACAATAACAGGCTCTGAAGTAAATGGGTATTCCTTCACATCTTAAAAAGGCTGCTGTGTTTTCACTCTGCTTAATCTGAAGAAACAGGCAACGTATTCGTTTGGATAGGGATGCTCAGTCAGGATATAAAACCACCAATCCTTGACCTAAGTTCCAATTACATTCCCCAAATTCAACCAACAGGAGAGCAGCTAAAACAATGCAAACTAAGTACAATGTGATGGCATGGTAATGGGCTCTGCAGTGACACCTAAGTGGTTCAAATCCATATCCTACCACTGACGGCTGTGCCACCTTGGGCAAGTTCCCTTCTTGTGTCTCAGCTTCCTCTCTGTAAAATGGAAATGACAGTATCTATCTCAGAGTTGGAATCCCTGGGTGATGCAAATACTCAAGCTGCTAACTAGACGGTTGGTGGGTTTGAGTCCAGCCAGTGTCGCGTAAGGAAGGCCTGGAGATCTAGTTCTGAGAAGAGTGAGGAATAATCTACAAAGCACAATTCTAGTCAGAAGTGATTCAAAGGCAACTGAGTACTGGTTATCTCAGGGTGGTTGTGAAAACAGAGTCAGTAATCTAAATATAAAGCCATTAGAACTGCAAGGTTCAAGTTCACCAGTCACTCCTCAGAAACCCTATACAGGGTTGCTATGGGTCGGAACCGACTTGACGACACTTAACAACAACAACAGTATAAAGGCTGGCACATAATAAGCACTGTTGGTACAAAGTGTTGTTATTATAAGAAAAAAAGACAGCCAAATCAACAAAACACAGGCACTGCTCAGGGTCAGTGGTTCGAAACTACCAGCTGTTCTGCAGGAGAAAGATGAGGCTTTCTGCTCCCGTAAAGATTTACAGCCTTGGAAACCCTGTGCAGGGTCGCTATGGGTCGGAACCAACTCGACAGCACTTAACAACAATAACTCAGGGCTGAGTCACAATTAGCTAGGTTGATCCTCCCCTTGAGTCTGCTTTAACTATCCACTGGGAACAGTAGTAGTGGTTGTGCGCTGTCAAAAAAGCCTCATCTGGTGGGTTTGAACTGCTGATTTTGCAGTTAGCAACCCAATGCATAACCCACTCTGCCACCTACTGAGGGAGGAGAAAGGTCAATGAAGAGAACCACAGGTCCTTTTGATAAGGAAACACATGGCCCTTGGCAGCTTCCCTTTTCTCTATCCCACTCCCTGAATGGCATGGGACCAAACTGTTAATATTATTACTGGTTTTAAAAACTGGTGTAGGCACTCAACAGATAGTTACAATGGTTACTTATGCATCATCTTGTATGGTAGAGGCTCTAGAATGCCTTTCATCCTTCCCAGAACCTCCTTTCTTTCACAAAGAACCATCTACTACCGTCTTCCCTGGAACAGAGCCATTTTCCCTATTCCAGGCAGCTGGTAGTTTTATTCTGTAACTACACTAGAAGAGCAGGGCGTGGTTAACTGAGGGCCTTGGGATATAGATTTGAACATTTGTAGGGCAGCAGGGTGTGACTGTTGACTGGTGTGTGGGATAAGGCTACCCCAGCTAGGGGTGATACGGTTTCAATGCAAGGCCCTGTTCTACGCACTGGGCAGACTTGACTTCTTTGACCTAATCAGGTGTGAGTCTGTAACTAGAGAGATGGCAAATCAGAGGTAGAGCGCAGAACACGGGAGGAGCAGAAAGGAGTGAGGCCTTTGTACTGATGAGGGGATGGGGGAGAACAAACAGGGAGGCCACAGAAAGGGCAGGGTGGAGAGCTGAGGCTCCAGGCGCCCATCTCACCTTTCACGAGCCAGGTGGCCGTGGCAGCTGAAACAGAGGCTTTTGCGTTCCCCACCCCTAAGCCCAGCAAGACTGCCTGGGTGGCCAGGGCGCCCGAGAGGCTGGAAGCAAAGGCCTGGAGAAGAGAATCAGTGGGGTGAGGGGTGGGGACAGGTGCATGGACGGCTAAGTTCTACCATCGGCTCTTAAGGTGTGTGACCTGAACCATGTTACTCCTCCGATCTGGGTCTCAGTCTCCCGTCGGTAAATGATGTGGGGCGGCCCGGGCCCGTGACTCCACCCCCACCCATGGGACGGCCGGGCTGACCTGCACAGAGTCCCACAACTGGTAGGGCAGATAGTCCGGGCTGACACTGTCAGGGAAGCCCTGCGGCAGGAACACAGCCAGGAGCGCGGAGAGAGGTGGACAGAGAGCTCTAGGGATCCCTGCTCTGCCACCATTTCGGCCTTCCGCTTTCACCGAGAAGACCCCTGATAACCCCCACCAGCGCCACTCCCCGGCTTCCCACTGCAGGCGCCCGTCGGCGGTGGCGCGACAGCCCCGGGCAGCCCCGGAGCCAAACTGCTCGGAGCACAGCGTAACTTCAAACCCCGGGTCCTCCGCCATCCCGGATCTCAGCGTCCGTGTCCAGTCATTTGAGAAACGTGGCAGAGCGACGCTTCCGTCTCGGCTACGGCGTCTGCGGAGAGGCAATTTCCTTTCGCGAAACTGCAACTGATCGCTGCGTCTTCTCTTGTCCTGTGCTCTGGCCTCTTCGACTCCCGCTTCAAGTATCGCTGGGCGGGCTCCAGACCTTGTTCTTTGTAGCCCTTAGCTGGAGGAGTGCGGGTCCTTTGGCTCTACAAGTCTGGGAGGAACCAGAATTCCTGTGACATGCAGCCTCCAGCTATGCAGTTATTGCTGTTAGGTGACATGCGTCGGTTCCCACGCATAGCGACCGTATGCCCAACCTCCAGTTACAGGAAGAAGGAAAGATAGTGTACTTACGGAACAATTGTGTTCAAGATCCAGTTTAGCCACAAACTTTTTAGCTGTGTTATTCTGGGCAAGTCAATGTTTCACTCTCTGAGCCCAGGGCCAGCGACTAAATCTTTTTCTATTCCCTTATCTCCAGTACCTAACACAAAGTAGGTGCTCAGGAGATATTTATGATCCCCAGGAAGTTCCCCAAGGCCACATTGAGTTGCCCAGTGTTTTGTTTTGTTTTTCCCACTTTTTTTTGTTGTTGTTGTTGTTATATTGTGAATTATGTGATAGTTTACGTGGGAGAACATTGGCTTTACATTCATTCTATTGTTTATCGTTTCATTGCCATGGTTACAATTCCCTCCAACCAACCATCCAAAGGGTATACCCTGCAAGCCTGCCCCACCCCTCCCCTCGTCAGCACATAGCCCCTCTCCCTCTCAAGGTCTAAAGTCCCCAGCCAGTCCATCTCTCCACGTCATCGTCTCTGCCTCCATCTCTGGCGTCACTGCTTCTCTGGGTAGAGTCCCGAGTTGCCCAGTCTTTTGTTTTGCTGTTTTCCATCTGGGTATCTCTGGCTTCTACTAGAATTTCTCTGCCCCTCTGTTTTCCCTGGGACTGGAAGATTACTATTCTGAAAGGACTTGGAGGACATGTGTCGTTGTTATTTGCCGTGGAGGAGTCGATACAACTCATAGCGACCCTGTTTAGGCTTGCCGAGGAGCAACTGGTGGATCTGAACTACCAATCTTGTGGTTCACATTCCGGTGTTGATCCTACTCCAAACTAGAAATGTGCCCAAAGGTTCTCTTTCAGAAAATAAACTATTCTGGTTCCTCCATAGATTGACTTCAATGACCTTCTCTACTGGAAACTTTTGATTCTTCTTCATGGACTTCCCTCCACCTGAGTTGCCCTTCCAGCCTCTCTCACTGTATCTAAGAGTTTCTGAGATCAAGATAGGCTGTGCATTTTTGGTTTTTAGTTTCCCAATGGAGTGAGAAAATGGTGTTACAAACATTGTGTTATACAGAGTGAGTCAAAAATTATCTGCACTCTGGTTATATTAAAAAGAACCCCTCCATGTCCATGGCTCATGACAACAATGAGCATGCACATGAAATGATTCTATGGAATAGGACAGTGACAGTGGATTATGTGGCAAATCATTTGCAAATCAGCCATGGCTCTGCCTATGAAATCATCCATGAAAGACTTGGGGTTAAAAAAGGGTACTGAAACAACTCACGGAAAAGCACAAACAGAAGTGTTGGGACATCTGTGAACAAAATCTGGACAAATACTCGAAGGAAGGTAAAAATTTCCTAATGTCATTACTAGTGACAAGACATGGCTCCATCACTATGAGACTGAGAGAAAACAGCAGAGTATGGAATGGATATGTCCTCAACTGTGGGCCAAGAAAAAGTTCAAAAGTCAACCTTCAGCTGGAAAATTGATGCTTACAGTTTTCTGGGCTACTCAAGGATCAGTATTGGAACACTATCAGGAAAAAGGTTCAACAATCAACAGTGCTTATTACAGTGAGATAGATATTCAATGAAGAGCTGAAGCCTAAACTTTGGATTAAAAGCAGATGTCTGCTAACCAAGGGAATTGTGATCTTGCATGACAATGCATGTCTGCACACCTACACTGTTGACACTCTGCAAAATTTTCGTTTTGAGATGTTAAAGTGTCCTCCCTTTAGTCCTGGTCTTGCTCCATAGGACTTTCACCCATTTGGTCCCCTGAAAGCAGACCTTAGATGCTGAATATTCACTTCTGATGAATAAGTAAAGACAGCGGTGCATTTGAAGTAAAAAAAACTTCAAGTTGATTAAAATAAATTCTACTGCCAGAGCAGAATTTTTGACTCACCCTCATATAAATAGAAACCGTGGTGAAAGGATACAGCCTTGATGCACATCTTGTCTGATTTTAAACCACGCAGTATCCCCTTGTTCTGTCTAAATGGCTGCCTCTTGTCTACGTACAGGTTCCACATGAGTACAATTAGAGTTCTGGAATTCTCATTTTTCATAATGTTGTCTGTATTTGTTACGATCCACACAATCAAATACCTTTGCAAAGTCAATAAAAACACAATCATCTTTTCTGCTTTCCATTATGATCCATCTGACATTAGCAATGATATCCCTTGTTTCATGTCTTGTTCTGAATTCTGCTTGAATTTCTGGCAGTTCTATGCTGATGGACTTCTACAATTATTTTTACATTTTTTTCAGCAAAATTTTATTTGCATGTGATATTGAGGATGTTGTTTGATAATTTCCAAATTATGTTGGATCACCTTTCTTTGGAATGCGCATGAATATGGGACTCTTCAAGTCAGTTGGCCAGGCAGCTATCATCCAAATTTCTTGGCATAGATGAGGGAGCATTTCCGGTGCTGCATCGATTTCACTGAAACATCTCAATTTGTAGCAGTTCCTGGAGCCTTGTTTTTTGCCAATGCCTTTAGTGCAGCGTGGACATCTTCCTTCAGGACCATTAGTTCTCGAGCATATGCTACCTCCTGAAATGTCTGGACATCTACCAATTCTTTTTGGCAACACAGAGTATCGTGTGTTCCTGCCATCTTCTTTAAATGCTTACTGGGTCATTCAGTATTTTGCTTGTGTTGTTGTTGTTGTTGTTATGTGCCGTGGAGTCGGTTCTGACTTATAACGACCCAGTACAGGGTTTCTGAGGTTGTAAATCTTTACGGGAGCAGAAAGCCTCATCTTTCTGCCGCAGAACAGCTGGTAGTTTCGAACTGTTGACCCTGAGGTTTGCAGCCCGATTCATAACCACGACGCTACCAGAGCTCCTTTTTGCTTGTAGACTCCTTCAATACTGCAACTTAAAGCTTCACTTCTTTCAGCTTGAGAAATGCTGATCACATTCTTCCTTTTTGGTTTTCTAACTCCAAGTCTTTGAACATTTTATTATAATACTTTTTTTGTCCCTTAACCTACCTTTTGAAGCTCTCATGCATCATCATTTCTGCAATCTGCTTTATGCATTCTCTGTTAATGATTAAGTTTTAGAGTCTATTCTGATACCCATTTTGCCCCTCATGCCCCCCTCCCCACTTTCCTGTCTTTGTAATGATCCTTTTCTTTACTCATGTATGATGTCTTTAATGTCATCCCACAAATCATCTGGGCTTCGTGTTCAGTGATTCAAATCTGTTCTTGAGATGGACTCTAAATTCAAGTGGGATATACTCTAGGTCATAATTGGGCCCTCATGGGCTTATTTTAATTTTCTACAGCTTCACCTTGAACTTGTATATAAGTCATTAATGGTTTGTTCCACAGTCTGACTGAAGATAGAGCTTCTCCATCATATATGATTCTTGGTCAGCAATTTTTTTTTTTTTTTTCTTTCAGAGTTTTATATATGTCATGCCATTGCATTCTGGCTTGCATGGTTTCTGCTAAGAAATCAGAGCTTCATTTTATTGGTTCTCCTTCGTCGGAACATTTTTGTTTCTTTTCCCAAGTTGTGCGCAGGATTCTTTCCTTGTCTTTGGCTTTGGAAAGTTTAATTATATCTTAGTGATTTTCTTTTGGGGTCTATCCTGTTTGGGGTTCATTCAGCTTCTTGAATGCCTATCTTTTTATCTTTCATGGTTTTATTAAATATTTTATTTAATTATGATTTCATTGAACAATGGACAGTTCCCAAGGCTGAACAATGGCATTAAAATATGATAACAATTATCTTTTTAAAATATTTAAGCAAAGAGCTCAAACGTAGCAATGATTATGAGGTTGGCACAGGACCCGGCAGTGTTTCCTTCTGTTGTACATAAAAGTCGCTACGAGTCGGTGCAGACTCCATGGCACCTAACAACAACGGATCTAGATTGAGTTCTGGGTGGTGGTGTCATGTGTATTAATCTCAGGTCTGCTGATGTTGGTTCTCAGTCCAAAGAACGCCTTTTAGTTTTTTTTGTAAAGTTGGTCTGGTTATTACAAATTCCTTTAGTGTCTGTTATCTGGAAATGTCCTGATTGTGTCATTTTATTTGAGAGACAGCTTTATTGGGTAAATGATTTATGGTTGCCATTTTATTTTCTTTCAGATTTTTGTAAAGAAACTCTTCTTGTCTGAATGATTTCTGCTGAGAAATCAGAGCTAAGTCTTTTGGTTCTCCTTTGTAGGTGAACCAACCTGCTGTCAAGATGCTTTCCATGTCTTTGGTTTTAGAAAGTTTGATTAGGACACATCTTGATGATTTTCTTTTGAGATTTATCCTGTTTGGGGTCTGTTCAGCTTGTTGTATGCTTATCTTCTTGTCTTTCATGATGTTAGGGAAGTTTTCTTTTAAGAACTCTTCAACAACTTTGTGCTTGTTAATTTTCTTCCTATTTTGGAATCCTGATCACTTGTAAGTTATTCCTCTTCATGGTGTTCTGCATAACTCTTAGGCATTCTTCAGATTTTTTTCTTTCTTTTTTCTGATTATTGTTCAAGCTCACTATTTTGGGTTTCAATTGCTTCATATCTACTCCTTTGCCCTTTTAATGTATTGTCCATTTCTGAAATTTTAGAATTAACCTTCCGGGTTTCTAATGGCAAGTTTTGTATTGTTTCAAATTCTGCATATATTTTGTCTGTTTGTTCTTG